GTGCACCATTTCGAAATATTTCCTGCCATTATTCTTTCTATTATATTCGATCAGACAATCCTGTATCCTTGTTTCTTTCATCCTTTCGAAGATATTATCCAAATCGTTACTTTAACGTACTTTTATACAGACAATTTCTGGTCTTCTGTAATGTTTTACTCTATCAAGTCGTACCATAGGAAATATCGAATATTAAACTTCAAAGTCAAACAAGAATGTTGGATTATTTCTAACAACACCCTATGGAAATAATCAAGTAAGGACAAAAATGTCTCCGGGTTATTTTAAACAAAGGCGAGTCACTCACTGCACAATGCCATACCATAATGTAAACAGTTTCTAGGTATAAGGGGACCCCAACTTTCTTTTGGGTGCCCAGAAACAGTCCTTCAGAGGATTCGATAGAGTAAAGACGTTTCCTCTGAGACCGTAAATAAATCGTATATTACAAAGTTAAAAGACTATTTCATTCCATAACCCATTTCCAATAAAGAATTAGCCTTGAATTTCCCAAGAATTGCACGATCTTTAACCCTTTCGTTACTATCGGTGCCTTTAGTTTTGCTCACACTATAACTTTGTAGCCTTTCGGTGCACTTCCACCTTAATTTGATACTTAATTTTATCTTTACGCACTTCCATCTTAGTTTACCGACTTTTAAAACGATACGTCTAATTTTGCAGCGAAATAGCTGCCATAGCGAAAGGGTTAAATTAACACGAAAACGCTCGGAATTTTTCAATTTACGAACCATTAGAAATCACACGTTTCTTTTCCTTCCGACTTGCACATTCTCCGTTCCAAGCACGTTCATTCCGGTAATTAGCCTCGTCCAAGGAAACGTATCCAAAGTCTTCACCGTTAATCACCAAACTTCCAATCCACAGAAGCAACTTCCGAAGTCTCTTATCGGGCCACATGTTCGACGAACGATGGTGGTTTCGCTTAAAGCCTCATTTGCAAACTTGCCGGTCCGGCCAGTTCGTTTGACGATGTATCATAACGAGTTCGGATTGTACCCGTAGCGATTCGTGGGCATATCCCGGGTATTAAAGCGAAGACCGTGCGGATTCGAGCGATAATTAACGTTCGTCATGGAAATGAAACGGTCGCCCACACGCGAGCCATGAGCAGAGAGGAAGGGAGATGGAGAAAACGGGGGTAATAACGTTACACTGTGTGTACGTGTGCATTCGGTGGCGGCCATTGGCGCAGAACAGTCGCCAGGATAAATTCATTCGTTATTTCCGGCTCGATTGTGCCCGGCGTCGGGCAAAAGCTACAGCCGGAATTAGCTGACCGGAAACTGGTCGTCCTACGTATCACCGATCCGAGCCACTGAAAAATTTTCAGCTGCCGCGGGAACGCCCGTTTAATCGCGGAACGCGCAGACAATAATTGCTCTCGCGGGCGCGTGTGTTCTCCTCTGTTCTCTCGCGACGCGACCCGAAATCCGGCGCTTTCGAGCAGTTTGATTAATGGAAATTTAGAAACGGCGTGATTCAGTGGCGCGTGGATATTCCTCGTTGCTGGAAATCGCTGATTGATAGCGTCTTGCCGTGACGTCATTCTGAAATCGGGACAAGTGGGGATGCGGAAGTAATTACGGGAATAGTTGACGGGTTGGAAATGTTTTATCGGTGCCTTTTGCCTGATGCTTCGGTGGGTTTGTTAGGTTTATGGAAAATTTGAAGGAGAATTTCACAATTTTTCGTGTGAAAAAAAAATGAGAATTTGCACGCTAGCACTCTTATTGTCTTGCTCCCCTCGTAATATATTTTATTTGACCAAAAGTGCTCAATTGTTCGCGGAATTTCAGTCAGGAAAATATAAATATTCTTATGACGCTGCAATAATTTAGAAAATTTTAACAATTTCTTACCGTTATGTTGACATACATACACAGAATAATGTGCAACATAGTGTTGATAATATTAGCATATTCTTCTATCGATGTTCGTCGAAAGTTGACCGAATACATATTCATAAGGATGTTTGTAAGAAACAATTAGTGGGATTCGCGGTTTCGTCGCTGTACACAGAATTCGGTAGAGCTAGTGAAATAGGACAGCGTTTGGTCAAACATGTAGAACTACGACAAGTCTATCTAAATAGCGTTCGAGTTACGGTACTCTGTCGTGCTAGTAGAATAACACGGTACGTGATCAGACAACTGAAATACCATTAGAATAGCAGACCAACTAAATACCACAATGGAAAATTATTATCGTACCGAGGGGTGCAAATATACAACCTCCGTCAACTATGAACGATACTTTTTGTCCAAAAGTGATCAATTCTAGGATGACGTATCTGCGAAACTTTTCAGAAAAGCTATCAATCATCGCATGATAAACTACTTCTTTGAAATTGGAATACCGTTAAATTATCGCAAGAATAAAATAAAACAATACACTCCCGTTAAATATTAAAAATACCTTTCGTTTGAAAGTGATCAATCTTGCAATTTTAGCAAGCCTGGATTAAACACCGCAGAATCTTCTTTCCAACAATACTCCATAGGATAGAAGTGAAATTTCTCGCGGATAAATGATCAATTGCACAATGTCACAGTCGGCGAATCTCCGCAAAAGCCATCAATTCTGACAAGATAAAATGGGCCTCGATTGTCCGAGAAAATTATCGAAACTCGCGGCAAATGATCGGCGTTGGCGAGTGTCTCCTCTAAGCGTAAAGGATGAACGAAATATCGGCCGATATACCCGGCGATGGCCGGATGGCCTTCGAATCCGATTGATTCCTCGGGACCGAATATCCATCCTCTATGGTCGTGTGTGCGTGGCGGGGTGGAACGAGTGGGACAAAAGACCTTTCGCATGGAAATGAATCGCGATCGGGCACGGAGTGGCTCTCGTTCATCGACAGATAGCCGCACCAGCCTGGGTAATAATTCTGAAAAATTGTTCCGTTCCCTCTGAGCTCAGTCTGAGACTTCAGCACGTATAAATCGTCCAGGTTCCCTCGATTTCACCGTGATATATCGGTGTTTGCAAGTGTTCCCCGAGAGGCATTACGATCGTATATTCTACGGGTATTGATACAGAATAGCTCTCTACCCGTGTACTCTTCGCCGATATTCTCTCCTCCCCCTTTTTTCCACGTCGAACCACCCGGCAATTTCCCCCTCTATCTCTTATTCCCCGTGTTAATTCACTTCTGTAAATTCCCTTTGGAAAATCTGAATTCTTATAACGAACCACCGCGGTAGTTGGTTCGATTTTCCACGCGACAAAGTTTCGTCGAAGCCACCGCTGGTCCACCACGCCTAATTATTTTTCCATCAATAAACGTTCCGCCTAGCCGGCCGCCGCAAGAAACTTCTTTAAAGTCTTCAGAAAAATCGCGTTAACGTCGAACTTGGGATACTCCGTAACTGGCCGCGTATCAAGGGATTGGGGAAATTAGTTTCGTCTCGATTATACGGCGACCGGAGTTATTAATAAACCTTCTTCGCGATTATCGAGGATGCAAGAACTTGTGCAAGTTGGACGATGAATGATCGTTGACCGAAAAGTTTATAGAGATAAATGGAAACAGGGTGTGACGAGGTTTCACGATCTCGTTGAATTCCCTTTGGAGAATGCGTTTGATAAAGAAACTTTCTGGTGACTTGGGTGTAATTGGAACATTGGAGCCAGCGCACAGCTGGCTAACTATGCATGACGTTAGTATTCCGCGACGCGGTTGCCAATGGTTGGATCCAATTTAATGTTCTGCTCGCTCCTTGGATTTCAGATCTGGACACGATGTTATATGGATACACGAACAACATATACGTGCTGGACCACACTCCTGAATCCCTGCCGGTGAGTACGATTCAGAACGAGCCAGTTAGTCGCGGCTGTTATCTACCGTCCCGTTCCACCTATGTTTGCGCGCGTTTAAGTCGATTGTTCGGGATCGTAATTGCACGCCGTGTGATCGTGCCACGAAATTAATACGGGCATTCTGCGGTCGACCCGCGTGAAAGGAACAGCCGACACTTGTCGCTGAAAGAAAAGATCTTTGTCTTTGTTGCCTTCTATACGAATGGATTCAGATCTGTGGAGATAAGTGAATAGAAGGGTAGTACAACAGGTGACTCAGATACGAGGTTGAAGAAATTATGATTCGCTTTATAATAGAAGGATACTTTAATTAAGTTACAATCTAGTTTTCTGTTCGAGGACACTTTTTGCTCTATTTTTCGATAATTGACAGTACACGTCCCTTCCGTTCCGTAGAAACGAGGGCATTCCCTCATTTCTCCGCGAAATTGAAAAGAGAACTTCCTCCGACAGAAGCGTGCATTTAAATTCATAAATTGAAATTGCGAAAAGTGCAGAATTGAAACTGATCGAAGGATCTGATTGAAATTTTTTCGCTTCGATTTAATTGAGGCATCGAAGCCACAGAGCTGGTCCGGCCCGTTCTTCAAGTTCAATAATAGAAACGACAATAGCTTCCCGACACTGTGGCAGAAACAATGTAACTGTCTTCGGTTCGCGTTCGTTTGACGCGGAACGCGGGACGGTGAATTGAACGTCCGCGGCGGCCGGCCCGTTTCGCAGGGGGAGAATTTAATTAAATTCAACGATAGCGGATCGCTCGACTTTGTTTCCAATTAAAACTTGCAGCCGCGTATTTTGATTAACAGTCGAATTTAATAATAATCGTGTATACAGAATTGCCGTACAGTGACGAGAGAAGTGTGTAGGGAGAGACGGGAGTTCGATCGGGCATTTCTCGCGGCAGTTTTGCGCGCAGAGCGCATCAGATGAAACAAAACGGAAAATACGTAAATTCCCTGGATAAATTGAATCGATACGTGCTGTAATATTAACGAAGTGTAAACTCTATGGAAAAATGAATCGAGTGTGTATGTACACGTTTGAATAATTTGCACGTGTCCGCGACCCCCTTTGTCTTCTTCCTCGTACCGACGAGTAAAACAAAGCGGAACAAAAGGAAGGGCGGCGGGGGGGAACCAGAAAAGAGTTGGGAGTTTGTATTATCCGGATAATTGGAACGGTATGAAATACACGTGGAAAACAGCGTGGATCGGTTGAAGTAGAAAAACAAAAAATGGACGTGTCAGTTTCGTTGCAGAGCTCGTCGTTTTCACGTAACGCGATCTATTTCACCTGTGTTCGGATTAATCATTGGTTAAACCGTGTACGCCGCGCGCACATCATTGTCCATCGAACGAGACGGATCACTTAATTATCCGCAACGTTACGAACCGCGGGGGCGGTTTGCGAAAAATCCCCGGGAAAATCGTCGGAGCGAGACGTGACCGCGTTTATGAATGAGGTTAATTAGTCGTCGAACAAATGATGCCTGCTCGTTAGCGGCAGCCGATTTCGGGTTTCCCTCCGCGATAGGTTAACAAGTTGAATTAACGACGAGGAGTTTCGATCGTGTGCACGCGTTACCTGTAAATTGAAATTAAAAATACTTGGTCTGAAATATCATTGTTCACTTCCACTTCGTGTGTATTAGAACGTGAATAATTTATCGATTCGCCGAGAAAATTCGTTCACGTCCCGGTAAATCCAGCGGCTGGCAAATGTTTCCGCGTTAATTTCACGTATTAATATCGCCGCGGGTGGAAAATTATTCGTTTCCATCGAGAAAATAGGTTTCCCGAAAATTCGCCCCTTTTTCCCTCTCGCGTGACAAATTAGCAAAAATATTCTTCCGCTAGGTTTCTCCTATATTTTCGTTACGCTTGTATATAGCATCAGCCCCTTCTTTTTTAATTAACGCCGAGAGAAAATTGCTCTTTACATTTTCAAATTGCGCAAATAATTAAAACCACGATGTCGGCGTGTACAGAATTTGTACGTAGATCTCGTGGAATGATTTTCCCGGCTGGCAATTTCCGTGCGGAAAATTCAGACACGTTGGCCAGCCAGAAATAAGCCATCAAAGGAAACTGCCGGTAATGCGAGGCCTGCAATTAAGGGTGGAAAATTGATGGAAAATCTGAATTAGAGGCCACGTGCGGTAGAAGTTAGCGTTGTTCGAGAGGGTCAGTGGTCTGTAATCGTGTAGGATTGTCTCTTTTTCGTCGGAGCTCTCGTCGCTGAAGATTGGGCAAAGAGGATGGAAAATATTCGTCGTTGCTTCCGCTACTATCTTCGTTAACCATTCTCCGGTTTAATCCAATTTCTTCCCTATTTTTTCCTCGTACGTCCAGACGAAATTTCGAAATGAAACCTTCGCAACAGCTTCGAATTTCTCCAGATTAATTTCCACGACGAGCTGGAATAATTGTACAGATAAAAACCAATTACAAATTACAATTGAAATTGAAGCTACTTCTCTCGGTGTCGGTGTGTTTCTACCTATTTGCAAGTATCTACCGTAGATATGTATCCGCGAATGTAGATCGACACGCATACACGTACACGTGTCTATATTGGTTATTCGAGTACACGGATACGGTGTACACGATGTTTCGTGTACCGTGTACACAAGACTGAATGTAATTTGCTGGAATCTCGTTGGGCGGGGATCTCGATCCCCGTGGTGACATAGACATTGAATTTCCGGCATCTCGCCGTGGTGAATTGAATCGATCAATCAGTCGTATTCGCGGTAATTAGCTTATAGGATAAAGTGTGCCTACCGGTCCGTTTTCGAGCCGGTAGCGGAATTGAATATTTCCGCCTCTCTCGACCGTCACTGGTGGAACGAATATCATTCTTGGGTTCGACGGTTCGAAAAATATTTCACTTGCAGTCGCGTAGCGGGGCAAATTAACACCGGAAGCTGGTCAGTCTATTTGCTCTGGTGGAACGAAACTTTGAACAAAGCGGTTGTTTGACCGTGATTATCGGTTGTTTGCCAGTTTCGCCTGCCGGCATGTCGACTCTATGAAAGTTCTTTGCGTGAACAGGTAGGTTTCACCTTGTTGGACGTTTATAATGGATTTATGCATTTCTCCGGTGATTATTGGCGGAGTTATTTTTTCGAGATTCTGGGAAATTTGCTAATTACTCTCTCCCTCCTCTCTCACTATAGACTCTATAGATTATATTTCACGATTCGCTATAGATTCACTATAGATTATATTTCACGATTCATTATAGATTATATTACACGATTCGCTATAGATTCACTGCAGATTATATTTCACGATTCACTATAGATTCACTATAGACACTATAGATTATATTAACGATTCACAATAGATTCACTACAGACACTATAAATTATATTTCACGATTCATTATAGATTCACTATAGACACTATAGATTATATTCACGATTCACAATAGATTCACTATAGACACTATAAATTATATTTCACGATTCACTATAGACACTATAGATTATATTTCACGATTCATTGTAGATACACTGCAGATTATATTTCACGATTCACTATAGATTCACTATAGACACTATAGATTATATTCACGATTCACAATAGATTCACTACAGACACTATAAATTATATTTCACGATTCACAATAGATTCACTATAGACACTATAAATTATATTTCACGATTCACTATAGACACTATAAATTATATTTCACGATTCACAATAGACACTATAGATTATATTTCACGATTCACTATAGACACTATAGATTACATTTCTCGATTCACTACATAGACACTATAAATTATATTTCACGATTCACTATAGACACTATAGATTATATTTCACGATTCACTATAGACACTATAGATTACATTTCTCGATTCACTAAAGAAATCAGCTCTCAATATCCAGATTAGCTATAATCATTAGAATCTCTGTGCACTTAGGTCCTTCTTCAGCTTCTATCAAATTTGACAGCGACAAGTGACTTTCATTCCAACTCTCTCATCTCAAGTCATTCTCAAATTAGAGAGGATCGATGAATCGCAGAAACTTTGACAGAAATTTCCACCGTTATAGCAAACTCTAGATTAAAAGTCTCTAGAATCGTTCTATCATGACAATCACGTAAACGACTATAGAAGACGTTCACGGAGGGAGAGAGAGCACTCGCAAATATGAAATCGTATTGACAGTGCTCACAGCCGTATAGAGAAAGTTTCGCCATCGGGGTGAGAGCTGAAGCTGGAAACTTGCCGGAAGTAAGTTCATTCCGGGCTACGCGTCTTGATAAACATCTTAGCGCAGTTAGGTAGCGTTGTAGAAACGAGTCAACGACGGGCTTCGAGATCCTCTACCTTCGCTAAACGAGTCCGTTAGATCCTCTTATTTTTCGCAAAAAGAGAAAACTCTCTCTCTCTCTCTCTCTCTCTCTCTTGAAAGTGAAAACCATTCGGTATAACTTTGCTCTCCTAGAATCAAAAGAATCCTTCTTCTTTTCACGCGTAATGGAAGCGATACCGCGGAACATTCGATTCCATAATGGTGTTTAACCGTTCGGTAACACGATCCTTTCATCCCTTACCTTCTGATTGAAACGAAACGTTCTAGCTTTCGTCGATGGTACTTCTGGTTCTCCGCTTCAACACGAAACTTCCATCGAGTGTTTGGTGAATTTCAGCCTTCTCCTCCCGATCCTGTATTCCACACGTGAATTCTCCGGAATATTCCTCGACGAAGAAGAAGAAAGAGGCTGGGCATTAACTCGTCCTTTCCAGCCGGCTGTTTATCAGCGCCGAAGGACCAAAGGAAAGTTCGGTGTACGCTTGAGGAAAATACGAGAAGAGAGAGAGAGAGAGAGAGATATGTTTCTCGAGGGAATATCGTGGACTATGATCAGGCACCCGGTACATCGAATCAGCTTTCTACTTGTTATCTCCCAGCATTTGATCTCTTTCCCATTTTCTGTGTCCGCTCTTTTGTCGACTG